TCCTGATGTCATCTTTCTCTGGAGGAAATGCCACAACACTTCCTCCTGGTTCACTGCAGCAGGAGTAGTGTTCCTCCTTCACCATGGCAGGGAACAACTTGTCAGAATCTCCAACTTTCATGAACACTTTAGTGTCATCCCTTCTCCCATCAAAGAACAAACAATTGATTCCATTTTCTCTTATCCCCTTATCAAACTCCTCTTCTAGGTTACTGACAAGTTTCTCCTGAGCTCTCCTTACTTTGTTATGATCTATCACCAGGTGAACATCATCAGGTGTTATCAAACCACCGTCAATCCAGGCAGCTGTTGCTATCTCTGCAGTTTCTCTGAGACCAGTGTGGTGTCGCATGCTGGCCAGAGCTATGCTCGGGATATCTTTCCTATTTCGAATCTTATGCCTGGAAGGTTTGGGATCATTATTTTCTGGGTTAGGGACAAAGTCACCATTCTCCTGGTCAGCACTCGGATCAGCCATGGGGAAGTCATTAAACTCTGAATCAGCTTGACTCCAATCATCGGCCTTTTTTACCTCACCCTGGGCCTTCTCAAGTCTCTTTTCCTCGGCAACTCTTCTCCTCTTCTGTCTCTCTGTGGCAGCCTCCTGTCTCTTGGACTCCGGAATATCTTGGCTAGAAATCATGAGAGCCCCTAAACTGCCAGTCTTCTCTCTCTGTGCTTTGACAAATGCCAGTTCGATCACAGGAATCTTCAGTTCACGCTTGCAAATACAGGAGATGTGGGCCTCGGATTTACAGTCACGATCGCATCCAAACTCAGGACAGAGAACAATTGGGCACTTGCAAGTAATTATGTCAAATAACTGGTCCAGTTGCTTGGCAAAGCTGTCCTTAACTGCAAGTTTTCCTCTCCCAAGAGAGATATCTCTTGCCTTTTCCCAACTGGCTAGCAGTCTCTCACTAATCTTCTTCTGACTTGTTATGACTGGAGGCTTGAACTGAGCGTTAGCCAGAGTGTACTGTGCCAAGACAGCTTTGGTCATATCACTGGCAATGTCTTTGTTTGTGTAAGTTCTTTCTTTTCACTGATTTGCCTGATTAAAACACCGTATCTCAAAGCATCTCTCAATGAGATGGCTCTCTCCCAGACCCAAGATAGTGACTTTGGATTTTTGGTTCCTCGTCCTGACACAAGCAGCCATCGCAAATATTATCGACTTATAAATGCATCAGAATCTGAAACAGAAAAAAATATTGTTAGTTGGGTTGTTAAAGAATGAAGTCAGAAAGCAATGTTCACTATTTAATTGTAATGCACTAATGCAGCTGTACGTTAGATTTTCGATAAATTTCACGCTAAAATTTACCTAGCAAAAGGTTGCAAAATATTGAAACTGAAATTATTTTCTGTTTATATACACTAAAATCTACCAAAAAAGTGATGGGCCATTAGTTTTACCTGATCTTCCCTCCTATGACACACCCTACTGCAGTAGTCCCACAACTAAATTCATGGAGAGCTACCGTGGTTGCAATTCGCAAGAACAAATGGCTTACCCTCATACACTTGCTAGCTCTAAGCATACACTGAGGAGATTATACACACGAATTCTCGGACAAATAACACACCATAGTCATCTGTACTTAACGGTGAACTCATACAACAACACTGCATGAGCGAGTCATGTTTATATCGCGGGCGTGAACAAGTGCAGGCGGCCAGGCCAACAAACTCCCAATGGCTGAGCTTGGTAGTGGGCCTTAGGGTGAGATTTCGGCTCACCCCATAACTGCGTTGGCGACGATATCCGACCTTATTGACGCTCATCCATCTCCAAATACTAGTGGGGACGTCGACACGATCGACTTGGCCTCTCTCTCTCTGTTTACGAATGGAATTCGTGGCTGGAGTTGTAGGGGCGTGAGATCTCTGTAACCTATTATAGGGGATCTACTTCCTATAACTTTACTTTACTTTCTCTCTCTGTTTTACTACTTCAACAATTACTGTACTTTCTGACCTAACTTCTGACCTGTGGTAACATGACTCGAGGGTACGACATGTGGGTAAATGTAATAATGGTACCAAGATATATAGAGAAAATAAAGGTGGTCATTGCAGGAAAATAATACCCCTAACATACAATAAAAATGGTTTATTAAAATAATGCTAGACTTTTGACTACTTTCAGTAACACCCTAGTGCCAAGATCAACTCCAAGGCAATACTCAGACATTTGTCAACACGGTACCTTACATATTTCACAATCACCCGTACTTGGTGTACCTGTAGAAAACATATACACTGTAAATATACATAAGAGTATACTCGGGATCCAACTACAACAGAGAGAACCTGAGAGATTGCTCTCGTTGACAGAACAGGACCTGTAGCACTGGTATTCCACCCTTGCTACTCTGTTACATAGCCAAGCAAAACGTGGCGACCTTCACACTAGGTTAACTCTAGACTCTCATACAATTGGAGATGACTTACCAGAATACACTGGCGATATTACGACCCACGCACTACTCAGAGGTGGACTCATACTAGCAGCGACAAGGCCTGAGCTGGTGTTGTTTACGTTGCGGGGTGGCTACAGGGGACAGTGGACGTGTCTGGTGCACGTCCTTAGTTGAATTGAAGCAGTTTGAATTGAAACAGTTTATTTAGCCAGAAAAACACAGATACAGAGTGGATAATAACAACAATATTAACATGGATGAGCCAGTTGAGAACCTGAGCTCTCTTTGAGGCACCTGACATATACTATAGATTTATCTCAAGGAAATATTATGTGTTGGCGGCGATATCCAACCTTCTGAACATTCATCCATCACTTAATATTAGTGCAGACGTCGTCCCGGGGTGACTGACATGACCAGTGGCCTACAGGTTTCTCTGTGTGCGGATGGAATTCGGGGCTTAGAGTGAGTGACACGAATGTCGTAACATTACTCGGCTGAAGGCGCTTGAATACTATTTAAACACAACACAGCTACGTTAATGGCTCACTGCATATCCAAACAACAAATAATTAGGTAAAAAACACTCACTATAACGAGATAGAACATGACTACTAGACCTTACCCGTGTGCGGATGGAATTCGGGGCTTAGAGTGGGGTCAGATCGTGGCCTGGAGTGGCGGTCTCCAGCCAACGTCTCACACCCTCACGCCACCAACACGTAACTTATAGAATTCAACTACTTCCCCCACTCTACACATTGGCGTATGAAATTTAGGTTGGAAACCGAGACTAATCTTCTAAGAGTTGCCTTACAAACTAAGCAGTGACTGAGCTCTCAAAGACAAGAAAAAATGACGACAAATACTCACAATGGCAATACGGGGGCGAAGCAAATAGCTGAGCTTTTCCGTTAAACTCGAGCGATAAATACGTTTTGTGTTTACATTTCAGATAATTAGCTAACTTCTTTAATACAAGACTGACAACACTTTCTATGTTTCCACACGAAAAATAAGATCTACAGCTGGTAAACAAAATACTCAAAACATAATCTCTAAGCACAAAATACTTTACATATAAGATACAAGATACCTCCAACATATACTCAATGCATCTTGAGTTGAAAGAGACCTCGAGAATACATCATATAAAACATCTTAATTTGCACTCCTCGAGAGACGTAGAGCGAGGGGCGACATGATAGAGGTGTATAAATGTAAGTCAGGGCTAAACAAAGGGGACATTACAAAGGTACTCAAACTATCCAACTAGGAGCGAACTCGTAACAATGGTTTTAAATTAGACAAATTTAGATTTAGGCGCGAAATAGGTAAACACTGGTTTGGAAACAGAGTAGTGGATGAATGGAACAAGTTACCAAATATCATCATTAACTCGAATACGCTGGATAGCTTCAAACATAGGTTGGATGCTTATATGAGCAATAGGGGCTGGGTGTAAATGGGACTGCCCAGTATGGGCCAATAGGACCGCTGCAGTTTCCTCCATTCTTATGTTCTTATGTTCTTAAAGTTAATTGTAATTGTTTATTTTGCCAATATTTTGTCCATAGTAATTTATGTAGAAAAAGAAACCCAAACTTTAAAAGCTTTTTAGAATACACTTCCTGTAAAGACTGTGGAAACAGATTAACTCGCAAAGTGAACGGATGTATAATATTTTTATCATGATACATGACTGTAATAAGATTATATATTTTTCTGAATATTTCAACAAAATACAATGTCAATAAATTTCATAAAAGCATTGCAATTACTGAAGTCATTATTACTGATGTTTTGGCCTGTGTATCGTCAGAAAAATAAATTTTGCATATTCAACTTGCAACAGATATCTGTGCATGAATTTAACCTATTACTTTGTTAAACGTTCGCATCAAGTTCTTATCTGGTCTTCCAAACACTAAAATACTATTGCGAGTAATACTTAGGCTTTAATGTAGCTTCACCTACCAACACTACAGTATGTTGGCCAGAGAAAGTTTCAGATACCATCAGCTTTTAAAGTTTGGGTTTCTTTTTCTACATAAATTACTATGGACAAAATAGAGGTAAAATAAACAATTACAATTAACTTTACATGTTGTATTCTCTAGCTCTCTTTTTCAACTTCATTAGTTCTGTAACCAGATTTAAAATTTCTGAAAGTAATTTTTCTTTTATTTCTGTACTGTACTGTATGTTAACAGATGGATGTCTTGAAACTATGATTGGTAACATAGCGACATCGTTAATCAGAAAGACCTTCACTTCGTGTGAACACTTGCACCTCTCGAACAGGTGTTGCTGGTGATCTTGTTGAGTTATCAGACACCAATAAATTTGTTTTGAAACTTTTGTTGTAACTGTACGTACGTGTTAAGTACTTGCGGAGTGCCTTCAAGCTGTTCATCTGTACGCAATAAATTTACTCTAAAATAGTAATTACATAGGTATGGCAATGAAATTTGTTGCTTTGATATATATACTATCAATGGGGGGTGTTGACCCAGGAGCAATTGACACAGTATACGGCGGATGTAACTTGAGGCAGATAGTTCACAACTGTGTCGACTCCGTGCCACACACGCACTTCCCATCCATATAGTAAACCTGGCCCTTCTATCTATCATATCAGGTAGTGACAGTGAGGAGAACTTGGTCAATAGTAATGGTCAATACTGGTAAGTGTTCCTCAAACATATTTTACCGACAGGAAAGAACAGCGTCAGATCTTCTCTGGTGAGTTGCAAAGGTAAATACAGTATTGTGACACACTGTTGGCTGCTCAAATAATAGTAAAACTACAGCGAGACTTTACCGTAGCTAGCACTAAACACTGACGAGGGGTATGATTAATAGTGAATATTGGAAATTTCAGACCCTATACTGGCCGCGTGTTGGTACAGTTTACTCCGTCAACTAGAGCGAGTTATTGTCTTGACACACATAATGCACATTGTTAATAAAAACAGGTTCTCAGATTTCAACATAAAATTCAGAGCTACATTGTCTTCACAAGTCAGTGAATAGTACAATAGCAAATTGAATCTCGTGAGCATGACAACCCGTTAAGTGCAGTTTGGACACAACTCGGTGCAGACTGTACTTTTTTTTTTTAAGGAATACAAGGAGGCAGTGTGGCGGCACCGCACTCAATCGCCACCAGTACTGAAACTATAAAATAGGTACCCATTCACTTCTGGATCACATAATTAAGACGACCACAGCTGGGAGACTCCTGAGCATTGTCCTAGACTGTTGTACAGCAACAAAACATGGTTAGGCCCGACAATATTACGGGATAGAAAAGCTTATGTAATGAACGGGAAATAACTCTAGTTTTAACAATGCTGCGACCGCATTGATTCACCCAGTCTAAAAATAGCTCTCCCTCCTTCTCTGTTTTAGACGTTATACCTGGCGTCAGTGTCGTTACTCATTAGTTCCGTGCCAGTTTGCCCAGGTGACGTATCGACCTATAAATCACCGAAAATGGGGTCTCATGTACCCAAGGTTTTGCTGTAGCCAGTCATTTTTTTTTAATTTTCAGTTACGGAAGAGAATTGATATAAAAACCTGAAAAATCCTGGAGACAAGTATACACATTCATCATAAGAGATGCAGTATGACGTGAGCATAATACTGACGAAATTAAGTAGGGACGGAGGAGACACACCGATATACAATTATGATGAGAGTAAACTAACTCCACCTACAGGACTATACCACAACTTCAACTTATCGGAAAATAAAACATTGTTTTATATTTTTGGGGTACTCATTAATAATAGAATCGTCAGCAATTGACATATGTTCTCCAAATATTTGAAAAAAATCAGATTGCCCCGGAGAGGGCTAGTTTATTGGGCACCCCCTTACATCCTGTGCAAGGTGAAGCGCAGAAGCGTTTACAGTGCCCAACTGGGAAGCATGCTAAGTTCATGCTTGCCTTTATGACTCGTGCATTAAGGGCGTGGAAGCCTGAAGGGTCGGTGGTTTTGTCAGAAAGTTACATAAAGTGACAGAATGATGAGTGTGTGGGGGGGGGGGGAATTCCCGGTACATTTCATCTGTTTATAGCAAAGCGTGGCAGGTCCCTAATAATGTCAAGTGCCAGGCCTGTGACTAGGAGGAGGGATATCTGGTCAGGGAGGGAAGAGGTGTTGGTAACGGCTGGGGACCTGTAGGAGGAGGTCATAGGGCAAGTGAGGATGTAGTGAGGAGGGTGTGAGAGTCGGGTTGATATATATATATATATATATATATATATATATATATATATATATATATATATATATATATATATATATATATATATATATATATATATATATATGCTGATAACCACAAGGAAAAAGAAAACACGAAGTTCCCAAGCGCTTTCGTGTAATTCACATCTTCAGGGGTGAGTACAGACTAAGGAGAAATACATAACAATGCAAATATATATACAGTAGAGGAAGGTGAGAGCCCACTTCCTTTCTTGCATATATATATATATATATATATATATATATATATATATATATATATATATATATATATATATATATATATATATACTGTATATATATGTATATATATATATATATATATATATATATATATATATATATATATATACTTTCCCTCACCCTAGCAAACTAGTTAGCATAGCATAACCAAACAGCCTCGCAAGGACCAATAGGTCTGTATATAATGTGTGTGCACGCGCTAAAATGACCTAGTATATTTTACTAATGTCTCATTGTCCATGGGTTTTCTTGCAGTTTGGCTGTGAGTTTTCTATTTTGTCTACCTGCCAGTTCAACAGGACTGCTAACCATCCTCCCAGCAACTCATATGCCATCCCAGACCCACAGCCTAGATGTATGGTGCAAGACCGCAGTCCAATACATACAGTTCAGGCAGTCAAGCGTTAGTTTGAGGCGCACCCGCAGATTATTCTATTGGACTGGCCCCCTAAAGGAGCCGATTGTAATCCAATAGAAAATCTATGGGCGCATATGGCTGTTGAATGGGATGTTGAGGAGAAAACGAGTGAGGCAGTGAGGAGACACGCACATAATGTGTGGGAGGGAATAAGGAGGAGGCCGAACATCTGCAGCAATCTGGTAGATTCCATGCCCACCAGATTGCATGAAGTTATAGCAGCAGATGGAGGTTGGACACGGTATTAACCAGTGGTCAAGAATTAAATCTCCGCCCACGACGGTGCCTTGTAGGGGGTGGCGGGGGAGTTAGCTCTCTGGTGTAACCTCGTTGGGGCCACATAGACTTCGTTTCCTAACTCTCGGGAATTTGTCCAAGTATTTTACTATGTGGTTTTACGTCACTTCGCATAAATATGCTTACAAAATCTATGCATTAATATGCATAACTCTTGGGAATCTGTCCAGACATTAAATATATGTTATATACTACAATAATCACATAGATATGTTTACAATGTTTATGCATAATAAATGTGAAAAATATTTTTGGGGTTTCAATTAACCAATAGTCATGCCTACAAAACAATCTTGATGCTCTAAGTGCATGTATGTGTTAAATAACGAGTAACTGATCCACATTATTTTGGTAAATAAAGAAATGAAAAGCAAGCACTTAGCCATATGGATATAGTTACACGGAAGAAGGGAAATAAGGATGAACCATGGTTTTGATGGAAACAATGTGCTCTGGGACGGTGCTCACAATGACGAATGGGAGAAACCTCTTTATGAAACATCTTACCTACTAAGGATGAAGCTTAATGTTACAGAACACACACACACACACACACACAGTGTAACTATGTGTGACGCGTTGTCTGACCTGGGGTGGCTTTGAGCGAACCATACACTTGATATTACAATATTATACTAATAACACTGTCATGTATTGATACTATGACTAGTTACCAAGATACAGAGCACGATGAACATAACATGATAATGATAGTGAAGCCTGGAAGGGTTCATATCATAACTTGTGTGTTCGTGTGTATGTTGCCCCGTGAGATTTACCGTGGGCCTCCATGTGCCCAGGTGGGATGGTCAAAGTATTACACTATAAGTGTGTCAAATGAGGAGTGACTGATCCACTTGTAATTTAAGGTTTTTGAAATATGTAGTTAAATTAAACACGATTTTTCATATACTTATGCGAATGAAGGGAAGCATCGTGGTCTGGCACACACACAAGCGCTGTAAACATTGTGTGGAGTTACTGGGTGGTTTGGAAGTGTTTATTTCCATTCATACTTTCGTAACTACAACCTATGGTATTTTTTCTTCGTGTTCATTTATAATGAAGATAATGCAGAGTATAAAATGCCATATACAATATTTATACATAATGTCATCTATACAGCCGTACTATGACTGTGTGTTCGTGCGTGTGTTGCCTCGTTATAGTTAGAGTGGGCCCCGGTCCAGAAAGGACACTGTTCTAACCTCCAGTACCGACCCAGGTGGGATAGAGATTATGGTTTCCGAGTGTACCTGTACCCTAGGCACAGTCTCATGTGCATAATCTGTTGAGATCGAGTCAGAGATTGATACTATTTGTAGTGGCGGTTGGAGTCACCGGTTACAGCGTCATAGTGGCATAGTGTGACGCTACCCCATTGTTTCAGGTGTGTCCATTTTACGTCGAATGCTCCTCTTTATGTGGCGTGTATGGGAGATTTAAGATGATTCAGGGAGAGGGCTAGGGTGGCTTTAATATCTCCTTCTTGTGTAGCTTTTTTGGCAAGCCGATCAACAGTGTCACAGGCAGTTATTCCTATATGTGACGGGATCCAAATAAACTTGACACGGATGTCATCGGTTTGTTCTAGCCCGGCAACGACGGCTAGGGTGTGTTGGGCGGCAGGGGAGGAGGGGGAGGGTAATTTGAGCCTCTCTAGCGCAGAAGTGCTGTCACTGATTATAAGGAGGTTCCGGCGTTCAGAGCGAGCATAGGTCGCCCCCTCATGAATGCCCGCGAGGATGGCTATGCTTTCAGTGTCATTGGAGGAAGCCCAGTCGTGGACCCTGATTTTCTTGCGGGCCTGGCGCTCAGGAATCCACACAGCTGCCCCAGCGCAGCCCAGCGTGGTGACAGACCCATCACAGTAGACGAGGATAGGAGGGAGGGAGGTCGTAAGAGAAGAGGCGACATCATCAATCTGCTCAAAGCAGTTAAGTCTGAGCATATACCGCAGTTGGGTGGATTTACGACCAGGGAAGGTGTGGACGACAACATCAACACTCGGGGAGGTCTACGGCGGTAGAGGCGGATGAGTGTACTCGGGAGGGAGAGAGGTCAAGGGGGTGTAAAGGTGATAACGCAGGATGTCAGCAGTAGTGTGGACGGGCCAGTGTTGAGAGAGGGAGGGAGAGGCAATGGGGGCAGGCCGGCGCAGGAGGGAGTCAAGATATGAGTTCAGTGAGCGAGACAGGGGAGTCGGTTTCTCACTGCGAAGGAGTTTAACACCAAGGATGGGATTGAGAGCAGTAATTCGATCGCAGACAGGAAGCAGGATTAATTCGCGCTGCATGACTTCTATTCTGGTGGTCATAGGGCAGCCGAGGACGAGTCTCAGCGTTCTGTTTTGGATTTTCTCTATGCTTTGTTTTTCCCGTTGGGAGGCAACTACAAGGACAGGAGAGGCATAATCTATGACAGCTCTGACTATAGCAATGTACATGAGACGTAGGACCCTGACAGAGGCTCCTTTGAGGCCGTGGGTAAGGGACTGGAGGGGCCTCGTTCGTTGGCGGCACTGGGAGATGACGTGGGCGGCGACAGCGGGGGTGGTGGCGCTGGTAGTGGCTCGCACGGGTAGACCAAGGTACCTGTAGGTGCGTACTTGATCGATGTCTTGTCCTTGCAGAGTCAGCGGTGTCTGACGCCGGAAGTGTGAGATGGACTTGGTTTTAGTGTGTGAGATGACTAGCCCGAGTGTTTGACAGGTCCGGGCGAACGTGGTGAGTATAGGTTGTTCATGTTGCACTGTAGTAATTTGGAGGAGGATATCATCAGCGTAGCTTATGATGTGACCGTCAAGGGCGCGCTCAGCAAAGATGTCGTTGAGGCGGCAGCTGGAGTTCATGAGTACATTAAAGAGTGTAGGGCTGAGTACACCTCCCTGAGGCGTGCCAAGATCAAGGTCCCTGATCGTAGAGTAGTGGCCCTGAAACCGGACACGGGCCTGTCGACGGGAGAGGTTGTCAGCAATCCACGTGAGGAGTTTGCCCTTCACATCAATGTGAATGAGGCCCTCAAGGATCACTTCACTATTGACTTTATCAAAAGCACCCTTGAAGTCGACGAAGAGGGAGGTTTTGGCTGAGGTGTTCGCCAACCCACACATGCACAGGACAATCGACTAAAATTGCCCTGCCCTGTTAGCTCGGGGGAACAACTCTCATCTCACGGTCACTTAATAATGCGAGGATAGGAAGGGGGCTGGAGCGATCCTGTATGCAAACTTAGAGATAAGTTTATAATGTGGTATAATATCTGAAGAAGTGATGATGTTTCAAGGAAGGTCGAGCGTCTTAGGAACGACGTATCAAAGGGACTCATTAACATGAGACAATTAAAAATACAAGAAAATTAAGACCTCAAGATAGAAATATGTCTCTAAAACGAACTTTCTATTATTTTAGGATGAAATGAAGATTATTAAGGATTCATGCAGAGTAAACAAATATCATGGGTGACACATCTGAGGATTTCAATATATGTAAAACATTTAGGGAAAAAATAATCTTCTACCTTGTCCAACAGTATCTTGTACAGGGAGCGCACTTTACTGGAGCAATTAGTAAGGCTCGTACTTAACATCCCATTAGTGGGAACGGGATATCCCACACTCGTAACGTCATTTAACTGTTCGCCGACGTTTCTACTTCATGAACCGACGAAAGACCCTTCAAGGAGTCTCATTGCAATATTTGAAGAATTTCTACTCACCATTTTCTGATATGATGATTAAAATATTTGTCAAATTTTTGGTCATTGTAACCTTGATTTTTTCTACCAATCAAAGTCATTTTTTTACGTGGCACTCCAAGGTGTCTCTACTGTTATTACTTGTAGCAAATTTTATTTGTGATACATGTAAATATGTTTTATGATATCCATGCTATATTTGTCGAAAACTCGTCATCTCTTGGCGACATTTTCTGGAGAAGCGTAACGGCATAAAGAAAAAATGTAAATGATACTTTCCGAGTGACTTTTATCGAACAACTTAATACAACGATTTCCATTCTTCTATGGTGCTTTTTGTTCCAGAGATATTGCGAAAAAATTGATTTTTGATCTTTCAGTAACCATGACCTTTAGCGAGTTTTTATTTTATTTCATATTAATATGAATTTTATTTCTATTCATTTCATAATTACAGTTATCGTATTTTTACAGAATTCTTTTCTTGTATGTGCCAAATATTGCTCACTGACACCTGGGCAAGATGGTGTTAACCAAGAGAATATTGGTGGTGGTCATCCTCGTCGCCTTCCTCTACATATACGTTCTCGACATTGTGTCTTCCGGTTGGAACCTGTGGCTATCACACCTGTTCATAAGTGAACCTTTGATCAGGCCTCGAGTCTTTGATGAGGACTTCAGTCCTAAGCAATTCAGTAAATCAATGGAATCTCAGAAGCCAGGAGAACCTAAGGTCCAGCATGGTACTGAAGCTGAAGACCATAATTCAGACGAGGCCCAAAACCAACACTTTGAGTCTGGAGAACTGTCTCAGAGCCAGGAGAAGCTCGCGGCCCTTACACAGGGTAAGTAACAACTCAGTATTCGGAACATTGAAACTCTTTTCAGTCCCCATTGTGACGAAGAAAAAAACAATATTTGAAACAAACGCCGTTGCTGTCCAGGTTTTGATGTTGGCCAAAACTATAATAGAAGTTATCATTATGTCAACTGAATTTGTTTATCGCACATATGCCGTTTTTATTGACAATACTATAGATTATTCTCTGTTTTCTGACCATCAGATCTGGCGAAGATAAAAAAGAAAATACATCACCTCTCAGTAGTATTTACAAGGCACCGGGCAGGTATATTTCTTAACTCATGAAGGAGTTCCCTCCCTTACAAATGTTTACTCTTTCCAACCATGTTCCTTCCAACTTCCAAAAATTCTCACACACCGGAAGTTCTTACCCTTGTACTTTATGCAATATCTTTAATATCAAATGAAATTGCGTAATGATAGCTCACCTACATATATCTGTCAATGAAACTATAATTTTACAAAGTGTTTTCTGGTGTATATTTGAATATGATGAACGAAAAACAACAAAATCATAAGAAAGCTGAAAGACTTGAATCTTTACACATAACAATTATTATCATATAAGCCTCAAATTACTTTACCCATGTAGCAGATTATAACTGAGAAATAATGACACTGAAACACAATTAAAATTCTTAACTCTTGAAAATGAATTTTTTGACCCTGGTCTCTCAGCTCGTCTCTCAAAAACGAAGTACAGGACGCTGAAGCTGAACTACGGCGAGGCAGCCCAGGCAGTGCAGCTGTGGCCCGACGACCCCAAGTGTTCCAAGTGAGTCAAAGGCTGTATAATACACATGCGTGTATGCAGTAGTGTTCGGTGTCCATCATATTAAAAGAAATTATTTGGTTTACATTAACAGGAGAAAACTCTAATTTTGTTGTACTCTCACACACCACCACCACCACCACCATCCACCACCACAAGAATATTACCATAGTCTCTGCCATCATCATGAGTGATATAACACCGGTACAACACCAATGACAATAATCGTGATATCATTGTACTGGTAAAGCACCAATAATAAGTTAACTATTACAACACCACAGGTACACAGCGCTAGTACATTACAATAGTGACAAAACACTGGTGCAACACCAAAATTAGCACACCACTGGTACAGCTCTAGCAGACAAGAATACTGGTTCAAAACTGTAATTAAGGCAGCACTCGCACAACAGGAGCAGCAACACAACACCTTTACAAGACTAGGGGCAACAAAGAATAGTAAGCCATCAGTAGCAACATGACTCTGACTAAAAGATCAGTAGTAAGACAAAATTTGTACAGCATCCAGAGTAACACGACACTGGTACAACACCAGTGATAATGTACTGTACAACAGCAACACAAGTGGTAATACTGTATGACACTGATTAAATGCTAGTTGTAATAAGGTACTAATAGTAATATCACATCCAACTATAGTAACACAATAATGGCACAACACTAGAGACAGAGTTAGTAACACAAAGTGCTTCTGTTTGTCTCCACTATGAGGATGAGGGTGAGGTTTGCCAAAGATTTTGAAGGGACGCTCCTTCACTCCTACCCACGCTCAGGCAACAGCTGGACCCGTTACCTGCTGGAGGCAGCCACTGGCGTCTTCACAAGCTCTGTCCCTGAGTTTAAGGAGATCTCTCTCATCAAAGCAGGTAAATTGTCTCAAAATCGAGAAATTTATAGAAATCTGATGAGAATCCGAATCACGAGCCATCTTTCTGTGACTGAGATCTGTTGATAAAGTTTGATGTACGTGGTATGTTAGACGTAGTGGGGATATGATATGTTACTATTATAAGTTTAATTATTATCTGGCCGTAAGAACCAAATGAACTCTGTTATCTATTTGTAAAATGTAAAAAATTCTTAGTGAACATAACGGTCGCTATATTTACTTAAAAATAAAAGATTAATGGTTTACTTAAATTCAGAAACTTAAGAATTTTCCCTTTAGGTTACCTGGGAGAGAGGTACTCTTTGAGGGACAGGAACACCATCGTCACCAAGGTTCATACCGTGGCGCAACTGCAGAGATACCCAACCCTCCCCTCCATCTTTATTATCAGGAACCCCGCCAGGTAAGTCCTGCCTCCCTTACAGAAACAGGTGTAGGGATGGTCAATGTTTCCCTTACAGCCATACAGATAGGTGGATTAGTGATGAACAATCCTCTCTTTACAGTCACATAGACAACACTAAATAATTAGCAGTGGATAAGTGTAGTCTAAACAAGCACCCGCACCAGTAGTTACGTTACGAAAAAACAACAACCTTCTACCGAAAACAATGATGCAAAAACCTCTCTATAAATTAAAACATCATAATATAACCGAAACACAAAAAAAAAACAAGTAAATAACCCTAGAAATTATGAAGAAAAAATAGAGAAAAAAATAGAAATTCTACAGGAGAAGTAACATGGACGCACGATCATTTAATACAAGACAGAATCATTAGGATGTTGTTTAGTGTTTTAGCTCAAGTTAACTAGTTTAGTGCATTTAACATCTTGATTTACGAGGAATATTCACAATATAAAACTTTGAGCCTCACTCCACTGTGTCACCTGGAACACCCCCCATTAAAAACCCGTATATTTGTCTTTTTCTTTGATATGCTCGGCCACAGATTTTGAGATAGACCTGAAATTTGGTATGTTTCTGCAAGTAACCCCAAAAATGCCCACAAACATTCAAAGTAGGGGAAGGTCTGCCCTCTGTGCCAGACCACAGATTTTAATTAATACAGGTAGGTCAAATTTTTTATGATTATTTTTTTGTTTGCAATTTGCACTTAATTTTACCGATATAGTTTTAGGGGAGTAGCAGCTGCACCCAACTTGACTTCATTAAAAATATACACGGCAACGCCTGGTACCCCATTTGGTATATTATAATACATATATACCTGTATGTATCATCATGCAAACTAAAAAAAAACATACGGCGTAGGAACTAATTTGTTCAATATATATGAAATTAACTGAACGTAAAGACTAAAGTGTATGATATTAATAAACCAGTAATATAAACCATATATGACAAGAACTTTGTGAAAACGAACTATTAATACTAAAGGAAACTTACCTTAGAAACACAGAATGTCTAAGTAAGTCTCGTTGCTTACTAAGGAGGGTTCTTTAGATAGTCTTTACTATCAGGAGTTCTGTGGGTTGGAGCAGGTGATGACAAGTGGAGATCAAAGATGAGTCAAGGAGTTTGGGGTGATCAGCGTCATGCTCATGCGCATGGATGGCGCTGTGCGATGGATTACTTAGGTGCCAGTTTGTTCTAAATGACATGCCTTTATGTTCAAAGATTATCGTATCTTTAATTGGTGTTTGGATTTGCTAATATACACTACATTGTAGCAATATTTATAGACCACAGATGCCTGTAAGTCCTGAAGAATAACATCTTTGAACCTAAAGAAATTGCCAATAGTGCAATTGGGCCTAAATATGATTCTAATCTGTAACTGAGGCTAGAGGTCATTTAGTAATTCAGAAACTTCGTTTTGTATCTTGTCTCCTGATGGCGACAGACTGCTCCGTAACTGTAATGGGATAAACAAGACATTTCGTCAAATGGTGGTTTCACTGTTCATCATAAGACTCCGATTTCCGAAGGACAACTCTATTGCTGTACAGTATGTATGTATGTGTGGATGGATGGATGTACATAGACAGAGATAGATTTGGTACATGAATATTGTAATGCATCCCTCACAAGCTGTTTACCAGTATAGAAATCTTTGAAGTGACTGACGCGACAGAGAGGCGCTACACTGCGCCTACCCTACATTGAATTGTTTCCAAGACACTAGCTGACGCTACCACAAGCCACGCCCAATATGATGTTAAAAAGTGTATTACCTTGCACAGTTCAGAAGCGTAAAAATTCTCCAGAATTTCTCGGCTCCACACCCCCAGCTGTCTCCTAACTTGTCAATCTGTGGTTGTTATTTCCAGCGCAGCTTGTCTCATCACGGCCTTGCTAATATGTTAAGTCTCGTACCTGCGTACTTATTCTCTTAGGTCTAGGGACGTGTCAGCCTTAGATATTGGCTTAGTGTAACTATTGTGTGTCCGTTCTGTGAACTTATCCAGTGATTATTTATCCAAGGACACGACGCAATCTTCTTGGCCAGTGAGTTAATGTTACGTGCTTTTCTCCCTTATATCAGTGATTTTTACTTTAACCTTTTACATAACTTTTTGGTGTGTTTATTTGTTTATAAATATTTATATTATGCATAGTTATAAGAAAATTACTCTATGTTTAACTACCCATCACGAGTGATTTAATCTGAGTTTAGTAACTTTATTACATTAATTATTTAAAATTTTATCTGGATCACAACTTTATTTGTTCACGAGAGGAATTTATGGTTAACGTTCTTGCTTTATCTTATTATTATATTTTTTCTCATTGATTTAAGAGTTCGGTATTTCCTCCATAAACTTTAAACCGTGTCATCATGAAAGACAATCTAATCCTTTACAGGGTGATCGTGTCCTTCTGGGCTTTCAAGAACATACAGAACAGGACCAAGAAACACGTCGCCGTCTTGCCCAGCTCAGCCTACAACACAACTGGTGCTTACTGTACCTTCTGGTGTTTATGGGGTTGTGGTAGCTATGTTAGTGGGCGTGAATCATGTGTTTGTAGTGACTCAATATTGTGTGAGTCATGTGGTTGTAGTGACCCCTATTAGTGTGTGAGTCATGAGGTTGTAGTGACTCATAATAGTGTATGAGTCATGTGGCTGTAGTGACTCATAACAGTGTGTGATCCATGTGGCTGTAGTGACTCATAATAGTATGCGAGTCATGTTGTTAAAGTGACTCATAAGTGTGTGAGTCATGATATGGTGACTCAGAATAGGATGTGAGTCATGTAGTTAAAGTGACTCATAAGTGTGTGAGTCATGTGGATGTGGTGACTCATAATAGTGTGTGAGTAATGTGGTTGTAATAACTCATAACAGTGTGTGTGTGTGTGAGTCGATCGGTTGCAGTGACTCATAACACTGAGTCATGTGGTTGTAGTGACTCATAATTGTGTGTGAGTCATGTGGTTTTAGTGACTCATAATAGTATGTGAGTTATACGGTTGTAGTAACTCAAGTGTGTGTCATGTGGTTGTGGTGACTCATAATAGTGTGTGAGTCATGTGGTTGTAGTGACTCCTAAAAGTGTGTGAGTCACGTAGTTATAGTGTGTCCTAATAGTGTGTGAGTCATGTGGTTGTAGTGATCATAATAGTATGAGTTATATGGATGTAGTGACTCAAGAGTTTGTGAGTCATGTGGTTGTAGTGACTCATAAAGGTATGCGCGTCATGTGGTTGTAGTGACTCCCATTAGTGTGTTAGTCATGTCGTTATAGTGACTCATAATAGTGTGTCAGTCATGTGGTTGTAGTAACTCATAACACTGAGTCATGTGGTTGTGGTGACTCATAATAGTGTGCGAGTCCTGTGATCATTTGTGTCGTGTGATAACTGGTCTGAATTATATCACTCAACATCAAACCTAATTTACCCGTACAGATATTCACGTCGACGCACAGCGGAGACAGTGAACTTTTGAGAACTGAATCACTTGGAATACTTTAAGTAAACTATGTACACAACACGACAAAGATCAGAGTATAATACTCTTTAGTGTCTATCTTCCTCAATGCCCCTGTCCTTCATGGGTTTATTAAGTAAGATTTTTGATGATCAGATATTTTTTATTAATATGAATATTTTTTCGTTCCAGAATTTCGAAGTTACGTCCAACAGCAGATAAAAAATTGGCTGAAAATTAACTGTTATGTACTGCAGCAGAACCGCACGCGACTGTTGCCAGTATACTACGAGAAGCTGAGAAATGACCCCATGAAGGAGGTCCGCCGCATGGTAGAGTTCCTGCGGCTACGACCCGACGAGGAACGCCTGGCATGTCTGGCTCGCCACCTCTCTGGGAAGATGAAGGGTGGTCAGAAAAAGTATAACCCTTACGGTCCCCACGAGCTGAAAAAGATCGAGGAGGCCGTCGAGGTGATCAGGCAGCTGCTGGTTAAAAGAGGATTTCCTCCTCTACCGGATTATTCTCGATATGAAAATTAGGGAAAAAATGACATACAGCTTCCATCAAATATGTCAGTTTTTATTTATTAAATGAAGTTGTTAATTTTAAGTCAATGTTGGTTGTACTATAACCTGTACTTTTCCTTTTATAAATTGGATATTATGGCATAATTGTCATACTGTACTTAAATTACATAACACAATGGGGGAGCTTTACTCCCTGGCCCATTGTGAATTGGGCCAGGGGAGGGTGAACCATCACCCTGTCAAGGGTCTCGGGGTACCAGATCATCGGGACCTCAAGCCCCTCCACTACGACAAGCCGGTTCCTGCTAGGGGGGTGCAAACTGGGGAAGTCTCCATCTTTGGGAAGGTGGCGAAAGTTAGTGAAACGGGAAATAGAGATACGATATAAGAAGTTAAAAGGGAATGTTATAAAGGTGGGAACCTTCAGAGGTGCGAGACCAAAAGAGAGATAACCAGGAGGTGAGAGTAGATACCACAGGGAAAGAACAACGTTCTAAGTGGGTATATATGTATTATATGTATTATAATAGGGTGTGTCATAGGCGGGAAGATCAGCTAAAACTAATGGCCCATCACTTTTTTGGTAGATTTTAGTATATATAAACAGAAAATAATTTCAGTTTCAATATTTTGCAACCTTTTGCTAGGTAAATTTTAGCGTGAAATTTATCGAAAATCTAACGTACAGCTGCATTAGTGCATTACAATTAAATAGTGAACATTGCTTTCTGACTTCATTCTTTAACAACCCAACTATCAATATTTTTTCTGTTTCAGATTCTGATGCATTTATAAGTTGATAATATTTGCGATGGCTGCTTGTGTCAGGACGAGGAACCAAAAATCCAGCCATCTCAGTCACTATCTTGGGTCTGGGAGAGAGCTCCTGAAGTCGGAGTTGCCTACATTGAGAGATGCTTTGAGATACGGTGTTTTAATCAGGCAAATCAGTGAAAAGAACCAAAGAACTTACACAAACAAAGACATTGCCAGTGATATGACCAAAGCTGTCTTGGCACAGTACACTCTGGCTAACGCTCAGATCAAGCCTCCAGTCATAACAACAAGTCAGAAGAAGATTAGTAAGAGACTGCTAAAAAAGGCAAGAGATATCTCTCTTGGGAGAGGAAAACTTGCAGTTAAGGACAGCTTTGCCAAGCAACTGGACCAGTTATTTGACATAATTACTTGCAAGTGCCCAATTGTTCTCTGTCCTGAGTTTGGATGCGATCGTGACTGTAAATCCGAGACCCACATCTACCTGTATTTGCAAGCGTGAACTGAAGATTCCTGTGATCGAACTGGCATTTGTCAAAGCACAGAGAGAGAAGACTGGCAGTATAGGGGCTCTCATGATTTCTAGCCAAGATATTCCGGAGTCCAAGAGACAGGAGGCTGCCACAGAGAGACAGAAGAGGAGAAGAGTTGCCGAGGAAAAGAGACTTGAGAAGGCCCAGGGTGAGGTAAAAAAGGCCGATGATTGGAGTCAAGTTGATTCAGAGTTTAATGACTTCCCCATGGCTGATCCGAGTGCTGACCAGGAGAATGGTGACTTTGTCCCTAACCCAGAAAATAATGATCCCAAACCTTCCAGGCATAAGATTCGAAATAGGAAAAATATCCCGAGCATAGCTCTGGCCAGCATGCGACACCACACTGGTCTCAGAGAAACTGCAGAGATAGCAACAGCTGCCTGGATTGACGGTAACCTAGAAGAGGAGTTTGATAAGGGGATAAGAGAAAATGGAATCAATTGTTTGTTCTTTGAGGGGAGAAGGGATGACACTAAAGTGTTCATGAAAGTTGGAGATTCTGACAAGTTGTTCCCTGCCATGGTGAAGGAGGAACACTACTCCTGCTGCAGTGAACCAGGAGGGAAGTATTTGTGGCATTTCACTCCAGAGAAAGATGACATCAGGAAACCAGCTGAGATAGTGGCAGATAACATTGTGAACTGGCTCAGAGAGAGGAACGTAGACCAGACCCTGCAGGCCATTGGAGGGGACAGCACCAACACGAACACAGGGTGGCAAGGGGGGGTCATACAGTGGATAGAGCGGAAGATTGGGAGGAAGCTGGTCTGGATTGTTTGTGACCTCCACACCAACGAGTTGCCACTCAGACATCTGATCCAGGAGCTGGATGGCAAGACTCTTTCAAACAACAGATGGTCTGGTCCTCTTGGCAAGATGCTGACTCTGCCACTGAGTTAGAAATAAATCCGAGCTTTGAAAAATCACAGTTGGCCCTCCACTCGTTGAGCTTGCACATACTGTCATTGACGACCTGAGTACTGACCAGTACTATGGTTACATGATTTGCAGTGCCATCAAAACCTGGGGTCATGCCTGATAGACTTGCTTACCTGCAGATAGGTCCAGTCTCACATTCTAGGTGGCTCACAACGGCTCTCAGGTTCTGCAGAATTTGGGTCGCTCATCATAAACTGAAAGGGAACCAGCTTCACAACCTGAGACTTTTGTCCAATTCATCGTGAGTGTCTACTTGCCAAATTGGTTCAACACCAAGGTCAAGTCATCGTTCTCCGAAGGTCCGAGGCATGTTCTTTCCAGCTTGAGCTCCTGAGGAGTCAGCCAAGGAAGGTTGTTCAGATTGTGGAGCAGACTGTGAGGAGATCTTCCTGGTATGCTCATCCCGAGGCAGTTCTGCAGACAATGCTCTGCAGTAAGGATGAGGAGGAGAGAAGAGTGGCAGTCAAAAAGATCTTGGATATGAGACTTATGAGAGGATCTGGGCATGACGAATCAGTTGGTGACGATTCCTTCAGGGTCAGGAAGACTCCCGGAAGTCAATCTAGGTGCCAAGACCCTCACTGATCTCATAGATCTGGATAACATCCAGGCTGGCAGTGAGCCCCCTCTTACCTGCAGCCTCACCAATGTTCAAGTCAGAGCTTTCCGGACAACCCCATGCATGTCCCTGCCTGGCCCCCACACCCAGAGTATAGAGCGTGTGGCAAGTGAGCAGGCCAGCAGTCACGCAGTACAGCCAGGAGAGGAGGAAGGCTACATCCGAGCTCAGGTGGTCAGCAGGGGCATGAGTAGAAACAGAAGCAAGAAAGACATGTTCTCTATGGTGCAGCAACACCGGGTCGTAGTAGTAAAACCGGTTTTTGTATTTGATGATTTTGTTTTCTAAAGGAATATTAAATTTAATAAATGTGTCAAGATCATTCGTTTCACTATTCTGGATAATTTTCATCCTAATAAATTAACCTGATATATTTACTTTACTTTAAATAAGCTATTTAGTGGTGTTGGTAAAAGGGTGGGAATACTGAATTTTCATAAGATTTCAAGTTAAAATTTACCTAGCAAAAAATGAAAACTTTTCAAATCTGAAGACATCACATGATTCTGCACATAGAACTACATCATTAATACCATGGGCCGATTTTTCAAACTCAAAATAAATCTTCGCCTCCGTATGACACACCCTAGTATTATAATATACCAAATGGGGTACCAGGCGTTGCCGTGTTTATTTTTAATGAAGTCAAGTTGGGTGCAGCAGCTACTCCCCTAAAACTATAACGGTAAAATTAAGTGCAAATTGCAAAAAAAAAAAAAAAATAATCATAAATTTTTTTTTTACCTAGCTGTATTAATTAAAATCTGTGGTCTGGCACAGAGGGCAGACCTTCCCCTACTTTGAATGTTTGTGGGCATTTTTGGGGCTACTTGCAGAAACATACCAAATTTCAGGTCTATCTCAAAATCTGTGGCCGAGCATATCAAAGAAAAAGACAAATATACGGGTTTTTAATGGGGGGTGTTCCAGGTGACACAGTGGCGTGAGGCTCAAAGTTTTATATTGTGAATATTCCTCGTAAATCAAGATGTTAAATGCACTAAACTAGTTAACTTGAGCTAAAACACTAAACAACATCCTAATGATTCTGTCTTGCATTAAATGATCGTGCGTCCATTTTGCTCCTCCTGTAGAATTTCTATTTTTTTCTCTATTTTTTCTTCATAATTTCTAGGGTTATTTAATTTTTTTTTTTGGTGTTTCGGTTATATTATGATGTTTTAATTTATAGAGAGGTTTTTGCATCATTGTTTTCGGTAGAAGGTTGTTGTTTTTTCGTAACGTAACTACTGGTGCGGGTGCTTGTTTAGACTACACTTATCCACTGCTAATTATTTAGTGTTGTCTATATGACTGTAAAGAGAGGATTGTTCATCACTAATCCACCTATCTGTGTGGCTGTAAGGGAAACATTGACCATCCCTACACCTGTTTCTGTAAGGGAGGCAGGACTTACCTGGCGGGGTTCCTGATAATAAAGATGGAGGGGAGGGTTGGGTATCTCTGCAGTTGCGCCACGGTATGAACCTTGGTGACGATGGTGTTCCTGTCCCTCAAAGAGTACCTCTCTTCCAGGTAACCTAAAGGGAAAACTCTTAAGTTTCTGAATTTAAGTAAACCATTAATCTTTTATTTTTAAGTAAATACAGTGTCATATTATGGAATAAATTATGTTTGTGTTTACCTTTACTTTAAATATTCTCTTGTTCTATTTGGGTTTTGTTCTGTTGCAGATGTATATGGATTTATGAGTTGAATAAAGCCGTGATTACTGAAGGTGTTTGATATCATACGACAATTTATTCAACTCATATTCTACTAGCAACATGGAACGTATACTGTGCCCCGACAAGCTTGATGTTGATCCAAATTCCCCAGCTGCTGAGAAGGTATACAAGCATTGGCGTATAACTTTTGAAAACTTTATTGATGAGTGTGGAGACAGAACGCCTGACAAACTACGATGTTTGACAAAATGTGTGTAGTAGACGAAATTCTTCTGCAGTATCAATAACATCCTTACAGACTCTCAGTTTGGATTTAGAGCTAGAAGGTCAACTGAGAGTGCTCTGCTATCCTTTACTAATGACACCTTGAACCCCTTTGATGACAGCCAATTCACTGTTAATATATTCCTGGACCTCTCTAAAGCCTTTGATACTGTCGACCATACCAGCTTCCTGTCAAAGCTTGAACATTATGGCGTTAGGGGCCTACCCTACAATTGGTTTACCTCGTATCTCTCTAACAGGAAGCAGTATGTCTGATGTAGTAATCATCATTCTGACTCCTCACCAGTTTTGTATGGCGTCCACCAAGGCTCCAATCTTGTACATAAATGATTTAGTCCACTTCAGCACACTCGTAAAATACAGCTTATTTGTTGACGATAGTTATCTCTATGCCAGCAACTCAGATCTCCATTCCTTGATGAGAACTATGAACACTGAATTGAATAGTCACGACCTGGATAATACATAATAAGCTGACCATAAACCTCGAAAAAAACAAAAACACTACACAATCTTTCACGGAAGGAAAACCTACCTCCAGATTTGGACCTCCTGTACCTTGGTAATACAGTCTTCAAACGTGAACAAAATTCAAAATTCCTTTAGGTTATTTTTGATGATAAACTACGCTGGAGAAACCGCATGCAAG